TTTGAAAAAAATAAATCCTCTTCACTAGGTGACATGCTAACCACTCCAGCTTCCCTTTGAAAAAAACAACCCACACCTGTATTCCGACTTCAGCTCCCCCAGGGGTGTGAATCCACCCTAACTGGACTGACTTAAGAGTTACTCCAGCAGCCAGGCCTGACTTTCCATCCCTCTCACTAGCTCAGCCTCCGGGTGTGGGAGCCAGGGTTTTAAAAACAGCACTCTGTGGGGTGGGTCAATGAGGATCAGGTGCCTGGTTTGTACCCCACGAACTGCAAAATCAATCACAAACGCCCGTAAATACCTAAAAAGGGGGTGGGGGCAGTGGAAGCCATTGGCTACACTACAGTGCATCAAAATGACTTCTCAGGCAGCGCTAGGGTGACCAGACAGCAAATGTGAAAAATTGAGACGGGGTGGAGGGTAATAGGAGCCTATATAAGAAAAAGACCCAAAAATCAGGACTGTCCCTATAAAATCGGGACATCTGGTCACCTTAGGCAGCGGGTGAATGGACACACACCAGTGTGGGGCTGAATCCCTGGCTGGGCACCGCCATGGGTCCTGGTCCCCTGGGTGTGCGCCTGGCTGCAAAGGAGGCTTGGAAACAAAGTAGGGTGACCAGATGTCCCGATTTTTGGGTCTTTTTCTTATATAGGCTCCCATTACCCCTCACCCCCTGTCCCGATTTTTCACACTTGCTGTCTGCTTACCCTAAAACAAACCTTTCCCCCTCTTTGCCTCCCCGCTGACTCCGAGCCCAGCGAGGTGAGGTTGCCTAAATCCTCCCTGTCAATCCACTCCTGGGGCTGCGGCGCCCCACCCCTCCCCGCCGCCCCTTCGCACGCCTGGGCAGCCGGGGTGGGACCGGGCGCTGCAGCAGGGAGGTGGCAACACACACCGACGCGCTGGGAAGCGCCTCCCCTGATCCCTCCCCTGCTCCTCGCCCTCCCAGCACACACACACACACCCCGCCGGCTGCCAATCCGTCCTCTGCTCGGTCACACAGCAACAACATGCCTGCCTGGGAAGCGGCGGCTCTCGCAGAGGAGCGGGGCTGGCTCCAGGAGGATTATTAGCCCTGAACCAAGGGGTGGGAGTGGGGGGGATAAAGGAAAACCAGCAAGCAGAGGAGGAGGTGGGGGGCCAGGCAGAGACTCAGCCCTGCCACTCCCCCCTTTCTCCCCACCAGAAACCAAGCTCCCCGTGCGCTGGAGGAGCCCAGAGCGAGCAGCAGCCCAGCCAGGTAGTAAATACGCTTCATGCCCCACTCACGCCTCTGCCTTTGCGGTTCGCTCTGCTCCATGCCCCGGGGCTGGGAGTAGCCTGGCAGGTGACACACGGTGCAGGGGGAGCCAGCCCAGGCCTCGGGGCTGCTGCTGGGCTCTTGACACAGGATTTGGGGAGGGGGCCTGTCTCTGCCCCCAGGCTGTGTGGGCTGCGGTTGCATTTCGGGAGGGGGGAGTTGCATGAGGGTGTTGCCAGGGTGGGTGACTGCGGAGGGAGGGGAAGCGGGGCATTGCTCCTGCAGGTAGAGCCGGGGCCGGGCAGGCAGCAGGGCCAGCTGATTGGGAGCGGGAGGAGGGCAGCTTGGGCCGGCCAGGGCCCCGGTGCGCGGTTGCACTGAGCAGCAGCGGCAGGAGGCGGGGGTAGATCCGCGTTGCCCGTGCCGGGCGTTCGTGCTGATTCCGGGGATTTGTCGGCAGCGGCGGCTGGGATTAGGGAGAGGACAAGTCGCTTTGCGGCGGGGGGGGGAAGGAGGGTTGGCTCAAGGGCTCCTGTGGGTTGGCAGCGAGGGAGAGGAGGCAGGCTTTGCTCACTCCCCGCTTTGCAGCACTTACAGGGGACTCGGGACGCCTGCAGCCGGGGGAGGCAGCTTGCAAAATGTGGGAGCCATGGACTTGCCAACAATGCCACATGTCACCTCTTCTTTCCCCCTGGGCCACTGCTCCCTCACCAGCCATTCGCAAACACCCAGCACCTAGCCACCCGCACCAGAGAGGGGCAGCGAGGGCATGTGGCATTTGTGGAGGAGGCTCTGAGCAGAGGGAGAGAGATGGTGACATTACTAGGAATTGTTTATTTTGCGCTGACAGTGTGCTCCGTGCTGCACAAGACCTGAAGATTCAGCATGGCTTTGACCTGAAGAGTGTCCTAACCCAAAGGCAGAGCTAGACTAGACAGGAGGCTTTGGGAAATCCAGAGGACACTGCTTTTCCTCTGGTGCTGACAGAATTCCCACTGGGGTCAGTGGAGTTATTCCTGACTCTCCCTGGTGTGCGAATGAGAGGAGAGTAAGGATCTAAGTATGGCTTTTCATTCTGTCTTCTTTTTTTGAAATGTTCATTCAGCTGGGGATTGCAGGAAGAAGGGGTTTGTTAGGAGAGATTTGAATGGGGAGGTTGTGGTGGCATCGGATGATGTGTGGCATTTCTAGGTGGCTCACCTTTGAGTCATGAGCTGAAGGATGCTACCTGTCCCTTTCTGAATCACATGAGATGCCTCACAGGGTGGAAGAAATGGGGATGTTGCTAATTATGGAAGGGGCTTGTGAAAATCTCATGCTTTCCTTTAGTACATCCTCATGTCCTTTTCCCTAACTGTAAGCGCTGTCCTCAGGTGAATACACGCTTTGGCTTCCCTTGAGGAAAGGAAAGGTGCTGGGAGTTGTCTCACGGAGGAGTTGAGAACAGTTTTCCTTTCTGGTAGAGAAGTGAAGCTCCTCAGAGGCCACAGCCATCATCCACACTTCACAGCTCTCTCCCTCCCTTCAGCTTGTCCCTGGGAGCCACAGTGGAGAAAGTAATCACTTCTTTCCACCAATTTCCCTTTAAGACATTTTCACAGCTGAATGTGTCTAGAAGGGAAACCTGAAAAAATTCTCCCTTTAAGAGCGGATTCTATGCTAGACATGTTTTTCCTTCTGGTTTATATTGCACTTGAAGTGTTAAAACTCTCTAGAGGCAGAAGGGGAAAGAGACTAGGAAGGTTTACTACCTACTTCAAACAGTCCCTTTTGCTCGAACTTAAAAGGGGAGGGGGAAGGAACATGTTGCAAAATCAGTTAAAGATTATATAAAAGTGAAATATTAATGACCTGAAAATATTTAGACAGCAAAGACATTGCACCTAGTCATTTTGGAAGCTTTCCATCCTCTTTACAACTCCTTATGGTATATGTAACTGTGACTCTGTAGCAAAATGCAATTAAAATTAAAGAGCGGCAGGATTTGTAATTATGTAGATAGAAGTATACTCATGATGATAATGGATAATAATACATATGCATCTCTTGCATAGGAGTTGCTTTTACTCTTGTTCTTAAATGATGCTGTTGGACAGAAGTCAGTAGCCTGACAAACTTTTAAATATTTTTTTAAGATATCAAAATGCCAGGGGGCTTGATTCAGTCCTGGGTTATACACCAGAGGAAGGCCTCGGGTGCTGGAACGTCCTCCAAGAGGGCCTATTGTGGTGTTACAAGGTACCTGTGGCAACTCTCACGCTGTGGTGGGTCTGCAGGTGGCTTGTACAGTTCCAAAAGTAGGTAGCCCTGCCAGGGAAGGTAGTGAGAGCATGGACACGCTGGCCTGCTCCCATTGAAGGCAATAGGAATTTGGAAAATCTTCGCTGTTTTCAATAGGAGTAGGATTGGGTACTTACCTTATGTTTGGGATCAGTTGTGCAGTTCAACTAGGGCACCATTCCTAGGGAAACCTGCATGAATATGGGGCCCACAAATGGAACCACTGTGTGGTACACAAAGCGCCTGTATAAGGCCCTCTTGATACACCTTATGCTAAGATTGTATAGAGTGTCAAAGGACCTGAATTCCCCTGCATGGTGCAGATCCTCAATATGGTAGTTTGGAGGTGAGCTGGAAGAAGGACCATGAGGTCAAAGACTATGCAGACATAGGGTTCTTAATATCCAGTAGAGGGGGTGTGGAGTGGAAACTCTGATATTCTAGTCTACAGGTCACAGTAGGAGCTGAGGAGGGAGTGCATTACACCCCAAGGCCTGCCTACAGGTTTGGGGATGAATTCATCCTCCCCAACTCTTACTTAATGCCCTGCATAAGGCTTTGTTCAGCAGGGGTGATTTCCCCCCCGGAGTTCATTGTAGTGTGGTGGATAAGCAAGGCTAGAAATCTGATGGTACTTCAGTCTTCTCTGGCATTCTTTGTGTGAAGTGATAGAATATTCTACTGCAAATACATATGTCCTCGTTCCCCACTACAAGGGAAAAGAGACTCGGGATTGATAACTTGGGGTTCTGTGCCACTCTCGTGCAAGTCACCTCGTCTTTCTGAGACTCAGTTTATCCATTTGGTAAAATAATATCTACATTGTGTGTTGTGAGACTGAACAGGTACTGCATAAAGGGAAGGTACAGTTTTTAAGTAATGTATTTTTGTTTCTCTTGCTATGATAGTTCTTTGTGGAACACAAGATTTTAAAACTTGTAATTGTGTTTGAAAACTTTTTTGCACAAGCATTTTATTATCCACACTCAAAACTCTGTGATATAGAAAGGGCTTTGTGTAAATTCTGTTGGACCCATTCCAGAAGTTCTTATTTAGTCCATACTTAGGTGAACTTCCCATGGGCATCAGTGGGGATTTTGTCTTAGTACAGGCTTCAGAACTGGCTTTATTGTGAAAAAATTGTCTTTGGTTTGTTTGTTTGTTTTTTTGGTTGGTTGGTTGATTTGTTTTGCAGATTATTGTTAACTACAAACACAGGTCCCAGTGCTGCAGTTCACTCCATTTGAGTAACTCCGTACACATGTATAGAATCTATTGATGTGATTGGGGCTTTGCATGGGTGGAACAGCCTGGCTGCGTGGAGTCTGTTGCAGGATCAGAACTATAAATGGTTTTTACGTTTTATAAATTGCAGTAAATAAATAAGTGGCACTGTAAGGTAATTCAGGTGCAGGCGGTGAGTGGTGCACACAAAATATGTTTCTCTGAAACTTGTGTGTTAAAATACACTTACCTGTAGATGTTGAAAATTATATCTGAATACACTCATGTGGAGGGACAGTACAGTGCAAGTGCTTAAACTTAAGTTGCAAAACTCCCATTGACTTAAATGGGACCAGGATTTCACCCTATAAGTAATTTGAAGTTAAAGGGGCTGTTCGCAGACCATGAAGTTAAGTATGTGCATAAGTCTTTGCCGTTTCAAGGCCCAGCTTTGTATCCTGCGGTATAATCATGTGTTGCCATCACATCCACTTCCTTTATTAGATTCATGTGGCAGTTTTCTACAATGGTAGTAAAATATGGTTCATTTGCTTGCCTTTTAAAGTATGCATTTTGTAGTGATGATTTTAAAATCATCTTCTATTTATTGTGGGCTATGGCTTAAGGCTAAGATGCTATAATAATAAACTTAACCTGACTTTTGTAGTGAATTTTAGCTATTTCAGAATATTGGCTTTGTGACATGACATGTAAAATACAGCATTTATGAGCACTTAAAATAGTATCCATAGTGTGATTTGCACTTGTATCATTTCATGTATATCCGGATACTTCAGCACGGATCTATAACTCTGGGATAATGGAAGTTACATCTATATAATATACATGCAATTGAATAAATAACAGCATAGTTATTCACTAGTTAAATTTATAGGTATTTTTATTTATAGCTTTTTCGCTGGTGTTCTCTGTACTGCATGTCAGAGTGTATCATTTAGATAATATAAACTCACATACAGTATGACAACTGTAGTTTGATTTCCCTGTTGGACAGTAACAAAATGCTTATGCTTTATACAGAAGGCCATTGCCTTTATCAGCACCATGATCTGTCCTGTATAGGATAGTCATTTTGTAATAAAATCTGAGTTTAAGCTATGAGAAATAGGACTACAGGGAGATAGGAAAGCAGCATAATATATACAAGGAAATCCTGATTTAAAAAAAAAAAAAAAGGGTGGAGGAAAGAATTTGCAAAAATATCTACATTAAAATCTCTGTTGTGTGTGTATTTTGTGAGTCTTTACAAAACATTATTCAGATGGAGAAACTGAATAATCTACCAATGTATAAGATCAACTTCAGCACATATACAATGTAGTTTGATTATAATCATGTATGCAAATGTATGGCAAAATATATCTTCAGAATTTTGTACTTCCTACATTTCTGCAGTCAGGTCAGATTCATAATATGTGTGGGAATGAAGCAACACCCCCAAATAGGGAAGATTCCAGCATCAATAGCATATCTAA